TTATTATATATATTATATATTATTATATATATATATATATATCTATATTTATATATATATACATGTATTTATATATATATATGCATATATATATATATATATATATATGTATGTTTGTATGTATGTATTCATACATGCATGTATGTATGCATGTTTGTATGTATGTATGCATGCATGTATGCATTTTTGTATCTATGTATGTATGTATTTTTGTATGTATGCAAGTATGTATGTATGTATCCATGTTTGTATATATGTACATGTATATATATATATATATATATTATGTGTGTGTGTGTGTGCGTGTGTAGATTCTCGTTCGCATGTACATTGACAAGTCACTGTGTATATTTGTGCGTGTGCGTAAAAGGTATTACGTATTACATGTCGACAACATTCGTGGTTCTAAAATGGCTTTGCTCTTTTTTTTAATCCGTCGTCTAGTAGGCCATGTCGGGTCGGGCACTGGCGGGTCCGGCACTGGGAGCGAAAGCGGTACGGGCGACTCCATCACATCAGGTGGGATGTTTAGAGCCCGTTCTATTTTTAGAATGCCGTGTACTCACTCTGTGTGATATTTGATACCTACTCAGCGACACTGGTGACTCATAGTGCAAGATCTGAGCCGGGAGTTCTATTTTTGAATTGTTGGGCATCCTACTACTTTAGTTACGGTGTAGGGTTTAGGGGTTTAAATAGGTACTATCTTTAGGAGTCGTTTAAAATACTACATATCGCAAGTATATCTCACTAACCCACTTGCCGTACGCTATTTATTATAATGCAGAACCTCTTATATAACTTTACATACTTCTACCGTATACTACTTATATGCAGACGATGCTATAGAACAAACACCATCTATAGGATGCTATATTTCATGTATATCTCGAATGTACTACACATCACACACACATAATAATATATATATATATATATATATATATATATATATATATATATATGTGTGTGTGTGTGTGTGTGTATGTATATATATATATGTATATATAACTATATCAGATTATGATATAGATATTGTGATATATATACATACATATATACATATATAGTATGATTTATTAGTATGTATGTATGTATGTATGTATATGTATATATATATAGAGGGCTTAATATATATATATATATATATATATATTTGTTTATGTGTATGTGTATATATATATATATAGGTGTATAAATATGTGTGTGTGTATGTATGTATGTATGAATGTAGTATGTATGTATGTATGTATGTATATATATATATATATATCCCGCTTATATACCAAAAAATCTCTTCGTACTATCCCACAGTGCCTGATTGGGGCAGTGTTACTAAAGTGCCGTTGAAAGAAAGGAGGAGTAGTGTGACCGCATATGACGCGAAGAGTCTCAGTGGTACCCAAATAAACACTGAAGAAATCGTTTCTCCCAAAGAACCTAAGAAGAGGTACGTTCATCGACGAAGCGCTCGGATGTGTGTGTGTGTGTGTATGTGCGAGAGTGTGTTGTATATGCGCATATGTATATGTAAATCCAATTTATATGTCTATACATATACATGACTATCTGTGTATGTGTACACCTAGAAGCAAAAAATTGTACCATGTGTTCATTCTTTGTTTGCAATCGTCTGGATGTGTGTTCGTGTCTATTTAACATGTATATGCCTGATGCTCTTTGGGTCATCCGCCTCTATAGAGACATATATTGGTCTGTTGTCGGTTGAACAGTTCAACCCCCTTCATCGCTATTGACGAGTGTTATAGCCTCGATTGTATGACTATGTATATGTTGTACCGTAGGCATTACCAGGCCAAGACAGGACTATGGATTCAGAAACACGTACACATAGACATCCCGGTCGTAGTCGTGGGTATTCGTTTCTATACATATATATTCTCACACACCCAAAAAAAAAACTCCTAGTCCCAATATTCACATCCATATCTATATCCACATCCATATCTATATCCACATCCATTCTATATCCATATTCATATCAATATCTATATTTATATCTAAACTATATTCATATCCATACCCATATCCATACCCATACCCATATCCATATCTATATCTATATCTATATTTATATCTAAACTATATTCATATCCATATACATATCCATATTCACATCCATATCTATATTCATATCCATATCTATATTCTTATTCTTATTCTTATTCATATCCACATTGATATCAATATCCATTGCCATATCCATACTGAATGATATGCTTAACCTTGCACACACCCCAGACGGTACAGTCTAGGTGCTTTCTCACTCACGGCCACCCGCACTCCGAGCACTGTGGGCACTCCAGTGACGCAGGTCAACACATTCGAAATCACGGAACGTGTGGTGGGTACACCAGACTATCTCTCTCCGGAACTGCTCATGGGCACGGGCCACGGTAAGTTCCTTCACGCGTGTGTATGTGTTTGTGTAGG